CCACACGCTCTTCACTCACCACGCTCCTCACTCACACACGCTCTCACTCACAACACGCCTCTCACTCACACACGCCACTCACACACGCTCGCTTCTGATCTCCTCACACGACGCTCTCACTCGTACACCACGTCTCTCCTCCGACTCACACACGCTCTCACTCACACACGCTCTCCAACTTTCAACACACGCTCTCAAACTCTACACACGACTCTCACTCACACACGCTCTCACTCACACATCCTCTCCCACTCACACACGCTCTCACTCACCCACCACGCTCTTCACTCACACCGACTCTCACTCACACACGCTCTCACTCACCACACGCTCATCACTCACACACGCTACTCACTCACACACGCTCTCCACTCAAACACACGCTCTCACTCACACACGCTCTCACTCACACACGCTCTCACTCACACTGACCGCTCTCACCACACACGCTCTCACTCACACCGCTCTCACTCACACCGCTCTCACTCACACGACCGCTCTCCACTTCACACACCGCTCTCACTCACATCACGCTCTCACTCACACACGCTCTCACTCACACACGCTCTCACTCACACACGCTCTCACTCACACACGCTCTCACTCCACACACGCTCTCACTTCACACACGCTCTCACTCACAACACGCTCTTCACTCACACACGCTCTCACTCTACACACGCTCTCACTCACACACGCTCTCGTTTTATCTACTTACCACACTATACGCTCTCACTCACACACGCCTCTGCTCTCTGCTAACTTCCACACACGCTCCTCACTCACACCAACCTCTCACCTCACCCACACCGCTCATCACTCCCACACCACCGCTCTCACTCACACACGCTCTCACTCACACCACGCTCTCACTCACTACACGCTCTCACTACACACGCTCTCACTCAAACACACGCTCGTCCACTCACACACGCTCTCACTCACACACGCTCTTCCACTCACACACGCTCTCAACTCACCACACGCTCCTCACTCACCACCCAACGCTCTCACTCACCACACGCTCTCAGCTCACCAGCACGCGTCTCAGCTGCACAACAACCCGCTTCTCACTCACCACCACGCTCTCACTCACCACGCTACTCACTCACAACACGCTTCACTCACACACGCTCTCACTCACACACGCTCTCACTTCTACACACGCCTCTCACTCACACACGCTCATCCACTCACACACGGCTTCTCACCACACCACACGCTCTCACTCACACACAGCGGCTCTACACTTCCACACCCAGACGCTCTTCACTCAACACACGCTCTCACTCACCACACACTCTCACTCCACACACACTCTCACTACACACAACTCTCACTCACACACACTCTCACTCACACACACTCTCACTCACACACACTCTCACCTCACACCACACTGCTCACTCACCCACACACACTCTCACCACACACACACACACTCTCAACACACACACTCTCTCTCACACACACACTCTCTCTCACACACACACACACACACTCACACACACACACACTCACACACTCCACACCTACTCACTCACACACTCCACTCACTCACACACTGCACTCACACACTCACTCACTTCACACACTCACTCAACTCACACCAGCCTCACTCACTCACACACTCACTCACTCACACACTCACTCACACACACCTCCACTTCACACACACTTCACTCACACACACTCACTCACACCACACTCACCTCACACACACTCACTTTCACACACACACTCACTCACCACACACCCACTCACTCACAACCACACACTCACTCACAACACTCACTCACACACACACTCACTCACACCAACACACTCACTCACACACACACTCACCTCACCACATACACCACACATTCACTTCACACACAATACACACACATTCACTCACACAAACATACACGACACATTCACCTCACACACCATACACACACATTCCACTCACACACTCGACTCACTCACTCACACACACACTCACTCACACACACACTCATCACACACACACACTACTCACACACACACACACTCACTCACAACACACTCACTTCACATCACTCACACACACACTCCAAACTCACACACAACACTCCCACTCACACACACACTCACTCACACACCACACTCACTCACCACACACACTCACTCACTCACTCACTCACACACTCACTCACACACACACTCAACACACACACTCACTCACACACACACACACTTCACTCAACACACCAAACACACACTCACCTCACACACACACTCACACACACACACACCTGTCCACTCACTCACACACACAACTCAACTCACTCCACACACACACTCACTCACACACCACCACACACTACACACACACACACACACAACTCACTCACCACACTCACTCACTCACACACACCTCACTCAACACACACACTCATCACACACACACTCACTCACACACTCACACACACCACTCACACACTCACTCACACTCCACTCACTCACACTCACTCACTCACCACCACACTCACTTCACACACACACTCAACACACACTCACACACTCACTCACTCACTCACACACAACTCACACACATCACTCACTCAATACTCACTCACCACCACTCACTCACCAACACTCACACACACACTCACCACTCACACTCACTCACACACACACTCACTCACTCACACACTCACTCACTCACACACTCACTCACACATCACTCACTCACTCACTCACACACTCACTCACACACACCTCACACACACTCACTCACTCACACATCACACACATCACTCATCACACACTCACTCACACACTCACACACACACTCACTCACACACACACGACTCACTCACACACACAATACTCACACACATCACTCACACACACACTCACACACACATCATCACTCACACACATCACAACACACATCACTCACCACACTTCACTCACACACACTCACTCACACACACACTCACTCACACACACACATCACTCACTCTACACACACACTCAACTCACTCACACACAACACTCACTCACACCACACACTCACTCACACACACACTCACCACACTCACTCACTCACTACACACCCACACTCCCCACTTTTTTTTTTCCCCCCCAACAACCCCCCCAAACCCTTTCCCAACTTCACTCACACACACACTCACTTCACTCACTCACAACACTCACGTCACACACCACTCACTCACACACAACACTCACACACACACGACACTCAACTCACACACCAACCACACATCAACTCACACACAACACACACCCCACACTCACTCACACACTCACACACAACTCACTCACACACACTCACACACCACCCACTCACACCACTCACACACACACTCACTCACACACACACACACTCACACACCACACACACACACACTCACTCACACACACAACTCACTCACCACCACACTCACTCACACACACACAACTCACTCACACACACACACTCAAACACACACACACCACACACACACACACACTCACACACTCACTCACTCACTCACACACTCACTCACTCACTCACTCACAACTCACTCACTCACACTCACTCAACTCACTCACTCACACACACACTTCACACACAACACTCACACACACTCACTCACTCACTCACACACATACTCACACACATACTCACACACACATTCACTCACTCACTCTCACTCACACATTCACTCACTCACACACTCACACACATACACACACACACACTCACACTCACACACACACACTCACTCTCACACACACACACTCACACACACACACACACACACTCACACACTCACACACACACACACACACACACACACACACACACACACACACACACTCTCTCTCTCTCTCTCTCTCTCTCTCTCTCTCTCTCTCTCACACACACACACTTCACACACACACACTCTCACACACACACTCACAGACACACACACACTCTCTCACTCACTCTCTCTCACACACACACACACTCACACTCACACACACTCACACACACTCACACTCACACACACTCACATACACACACACACTCACACACACACACACACTCACACACACACACACACCACACACACACACACTCACACACACACACACACACACACACACACACACACACACACACACACACACACACACACACACACACACACGCTCACACACACACCACACACACTCACACACACACACACACACACACACACACACACACTCACACACACACACTCACACACACACACACACACACACACACACACTCTCTCTCTCTCTTACCGTATGAGAGCCCACACAGGGACTTGCTAAGATAGGGGTCAGAATAGCCTAAGTTACCTCACCCTTTTGAGTTGTAAGCTTTTACTTAGAGAAATTGTAAACTTCTCTAAATGAAGAAAAATATCTGCCCATTCTATATTTCCATTCACCCTTTTCCTCTGTCGAACACAAAGAGGTCAAACACTTTCATTATTAAACCAAGCATGCTCTCCTTTCTAAAACGCGTGTAAACCTCTTGGGGATGTGTAGCCTTAGGATTACGTCCTATTACACTTGAAGGACACCACACTCAAAAGCACTTGTGTTGAGAATAGGGGTTGATATCAGTGATAAAGAATTCTTGATACATGCTCGATCGAATATCATAGGGTTAAGGTAAAGAGATTATTGTATTGACAATTCTAAAGCTCTGAATTGTGGATACGTCTAAATTGGTTGTATTTGATGGTTGGTTGTAGATCTGACTTATATTCTTTTAGGAAAATGATCATGCTGTTTTTTTCTTGTATTTGCAGCATTTAAGCATGAAATTTGACATGTACCCTCTTAATACCTTCATATTCTACACAATAATGATATTCGACGATGTAACTTATCAACTACACTATCCACACATTATAGAACCATAAATAGTTTCGACCACACGACCCCAATCCCAGAATACCGAAGTCACAAAAAACTAAACCGAAAAAACAACAAAAAATACATACCGTCCCTCCAAACGACACTCCAGCTCCGAAACACGCGAGCCCCAAAACCTTCCCTGCTATTTCTACAAGAGCATAAAACCACTATTCCGTACAGGATACGAATAAACTGCACAATTGACGCGAACACCAGTCCACGACAGCCGCACAATAGCCGTCACTCTGTACACGACACTGCCCGGCGCGATACTGCACTACGCGGAGTCGAGTCTGTGCCGAGACCGAGCGAGCGAAATCCGAACACGAGGCCCAGAGAAGAGGTACTGCGCTGGTTGGCATCCTCGCGTTTTATTTCTCTTGTAAATTTCTTCAACAAAGTGTAAGGTAATATACGACAGTAATGTATATATCTATTACAGTAATGTATATATTTTGGGTGAAGTAAACCTGTTGTTTTGTTACTGTTAATTTTATACTTTTATTCTTTTTTTTCTGAGATTAAGGAATGTTTTCAGAACGTTCTGGGACTGGAGTAGTGCAGGGTGAGGTTAGTGTGCCATCTCGCTTTATTACCAAGTGTCCTTCTCTACTCTCTACTGCCGTCCTCTCTCTCTCTCTCTCCTTTCTTCTCTCTTCCTCCCTATCTCCCCCCACCCCCCCCCCCGTCACCCCAAGCTCATCTTACTCATTTTCCTCTTCCCTCCCTTTCCCTTCCCTCATCTTCTACCTCCTTCCATTCTCCTTCCATCCTCTTTCCTTCATCTCCCCCTACCTCTTCCCCTGCCTTTTAATCATTTCCTTCTTCGCACTTCCATTCTTCCCCTCTTCTGTCCCCTTCCCTTGTTAACCCATTTTCTTCCCCCTCCCACTTAGTCTCGTCTTCCCTTCCTTCTACCTCCCTTCCGTTCCCTCTACCCCCTCCTCCCCATCTCTTCTTCCCTTCCTTTTCTTTTCTTTTCAGTCTCTCGCCCCCTTCCCCTCTCGCTCTTCCTAACCCCTCCCTTTCCATGGAATCCTTCTCTCCTTTCCCCCTCTCTCTGCTTTCCTTTTAAACCCCATCCTTCCCCCCAACCCCACCTTTCCTTCATTTGGAGACCCTCTCTTTCACCCCTCCCCTCTTTTTTTCTCTGAACTCCCCTCCCCTCCCATCCTCCCCAACCTCTCCTTCCCTGTATTTTCACCTCTCCTTCCTCCCCAATCCATCCTCCTTCGCTTCCTTTTAACCCCCCCTCCTTCTTCTCCTTGTCCTCACCCCCTTCTCGGCTACCTACCCCTTTCCCCCCTCTCTCCACCCCCCACTCCTCCCTTTACCCCCCTCTCACTCCACCCCCTTCTCCCCCTCTCCGACCCCCCACCCCCTTACCCCCCTCTCGCCCCCACCCCTTGCCTCCTTCTCCCCCCGCTTCCGACCTTCACCCCTTGCCCCCAACCCCCACCCCCTTCCGACCCCAAGCGACAAAAGGCGCCCTGAGATGCATTCACTCATACACACAGAAGGCCACACAGGATAACGGACGTGCCCTTACGGAATTATTGTGTTACCCCCCCCCCACGCCCCTCACCCCTCCTCCCCACAATACCCCTCTGCCCCACCCCTCAGCCCCTCCCACCCCCTCCCCCCACAATACCCCTCTCCCCCCCCCTCCCCCCCTCCTTCCACAATACCCCCTCTCCCCCACCTTGTTCCCACGATACCCCCCCATTCCCCACCCCCTCCTACCCACAATACTCCCCTCCCCCTTTGTTCTCCACCGCCCACATACGTACATAAATGCCCCCCCCCTTCCCTTGGCATTTACTCCCCTTCACCCCCCTCCTTACCCCCCTTCCTTCTTCCTTGCTTTTATTGTCGTTCGTGTTTGTTTGTTTTCTTTTTTCTTGGTTTCTCGTTCTGTTTTTGTGTCTTATTTTCTCTTTCTGTCTTTGTTTATCTGTCTTTTCATATATTCTCTTTATTTATATGCATGTTTATCTGTTTATTTTTTCGTCTCTCTCTCTTTCTCTCTCTCTCTCTCTCTCTCTCTCTCTCTCTCTCTCTCTCTCCTCTCTCTCTCTCTCTCCTCTCTCTCTCTCTCTCTCTCCTCTCTTTCCCTCGATTTTCTCCTCGCCTCATTCCTACATCCTTTCATTTTCCCATTTTCTCTTCTTTTTAGTCTTATCTTTTATTCATTTACTTCCTCCTTCTTCTACACCTCTTCCCGCTCCCCCATTACCGCCATGCCCCCCCCCCCCACCCCCGCTCGTATTAAGGTGGCCTTTTTCATAATCCTCTTTATCCTTTAATCCTTCTCCTTTCTCCCTTATCCACATTCCTCTCCCTTATTTTGTTCATTATTCTTATTCTTCTGCCTTATCCATATTCATCGCGCTTATCTCTGTTATTCTCCCTTATCCTTAATCCTCTCCCATATCCATATTCTCCTCCTTTAACAAGATTCCTCTCCCTTATCTTTATTCTTTTCCTTCCTTTATCTATATTCCTCTCTCTTATCTTTACTTTTCTCCATTATTTGTATTCTTTTCCTTCATCCTATCCCTTAATCCTTATTTTTATCCATATCCTTTTTCACATCCATATTCCTCTCCCTTATCTTTGTTCTTCTCCATTCTTCTTCTTCTCCCTTATCACATTCCTCTCCTTATCTTTATTCCACTTTCTTTCTACTTCTCTTTTCCCTTCCTCTGTGTGTGTCCTTATCCCTGACCTCCCCCTCTTCTATTACTCTACCTACCCTTCTTCCCATTCTTCTTTATTTTCCTCTCTTTCTCTCTTGTTCTTTTCCTCCCTGTTCTTTTTCTTTCCTCTTTCCTTGTTCCTTCATCCTGTCAGTGGCCTTCTCCCCCTCCCCTCCTCCCCCCCCTGCCAAAACGTTTTAAGGTATGGCGGCAATGTCTTGTAAGTTGTCCAATAAGAATCTCCCTCGCTCTCTCTTTCTCCCTTCCTCTCCTTTCCTCCTTTCCTCTTTCTCACCACGCCCTTTTCTTCGTGCAACTTTTTTTTTTCTCTTTCCTTATATTCCCATCCAGTTGTGTTCTCTTCGACTCCCTTCTCCCTGTTCCTCTTTCCTCTTTCTCCCCTTCTCTTCTATCTCCCCTTTCTCTCCTTTTCCTCTTCCGATCTTTTCCTTTCTTTATTTCTTCTTATTCTTTCCTTCTCCTCTTTCTCCAGTTTCCCTTTCAATGTTTTCCTCTCTTTTTTTTGCCCATTTTTCTCCCTTTCCCTCTCTTTCTCCATTTATTCCTTCCCTTTCTTCCCTTTCCCATCTTTCTCCCCTTCTCCCTTTCCCCATTTCTTCTTTTTACCCCCCCTTTTCCGTCCTTTCTCCCGCTTCCCTCTTTCTCCTTTCTCTCCTTCCCTTCTTTCTCCCCTTCTTGCTTTCCTACCTTTCTCCCTTTTTCCCCTTGTCCTCTTTCTCCTTTATTCCCTTTCTCCCCCTCCCATCTTTTCCACCTCCCCCTTTCCTCATCCACAGCGCCCTTTCCTGCTTTGTTTAAATCATCCTCCCACTTCCCTTCATCGTCTTATATTCCTTCGTGTTCCTTTCCTCGCTCCCTTATCCTCTTCAGCTCTCATTTTCGTCTCCTCTCAAGCTGCACTTCCTTCAGGTGCTGCCTCTCTCTCTCTCCTCTCTCTCTCTCTCTCTCTCGTCTCTCTCTCTCTCTCTCTCTCTTCCTCCGTCTCTCTCTCTCTCTCTCTCTCTCTCTCTGGCTGCCTGTCTGTGGGTGTCGTGTTTCTCTGTCTCTTCTCTCTGCCCTCTCTCTGTGCTCTTTCTCTTCCTCTCTCTCTCTCTCTCTCCTCGCTCTCTCTCTCTCTCTCCTCTCTCTCTCTCTCTCTCTCTTCTCTCTCTCTCTCTCATCTCTCTCTCTCTCTCTCTGCAGCTGTGTGGATTGTTGTATGTAGTTGTGTGGTGTGTGTTGTGTTGTGTGATGTGTGTTTGGCGCGCTCAGCGCGCGCGTGTGTGTGTGTGTTTGTATGTGCGTAGATTAAAAAGAATCGAGTATACATATAATCCTTTCCTATTCCTCGCCCCCCCTCCTCTCCTTTGCTTCTTCTCTGGCTCTTTCTGTTTTATGTACTTTTATCTTCTCCTTGCCTTGCGTGACCCCCCTTCGCCTCTCAAAACCCGTCTTATTATTCTTTCTTTCTTTATTTCTCTCTTTCTCTTTAACGCCGCGTTCGTTGCGAAAGCGTGTTAGCGGTCGAGTGCGAGGCCTTTTTATTTCTCTGTATTAGTCATCGTGGATGTAATGGCGCACGTTCCCTCGTTGTCATGTCCTTCTACAGGGCTTGGAGTGATGGTTAAAAAAGAAAGTGCGCGGCCGCGTGTCGTATGTTGGTCCGTCATGTTCGTGCAGCGCTTGCGGCAGGGGGGGGTAAGAATTAGTTGGGGGTGGGGGTGTAGGCGGCCTTGGGTGGGTGACGGAGTAGGTGGATATGTGTGTGTTTGTTGATGTTAGAACGTTAAATAGAGAAATAGAAAGAGAGAGGCGAAGAGAGCAGAGAGAGAGAGAGTCAGTGCTCCTTCTGCAAATAGAGGAGAGAGGGAGAGAGAGGGAGAGAAGAGGAGGAGACGGAGAGAGAGAGGAGAATCGAGAGACCGAGCGACGGAGAGAGCGGAGAGAGAGAGAGAGGAGAGAAGAGAGACGAGTGAGAGAGAGAGAAAGACGAGAGAGAGACAGAGAGAAGAGAGATCGAGAGAGAGAGAATAGAGAGAGAGAGAGAGAAGAAGAGAGCGAGGATGAGAGAGAGGAGAGAGGTGAGCAGAGAGATGAGAGGAAAAAATAGAAATAGAGAAAGGAGAGAGGCGAAAGAGAGAGAGAGAGGAAAAGAAAGAACACAATAAGATCGACACGAGCGAACGAGAAAAACAATGAAAAGAGAAAAAGAGCAGCAATTCTCGAACATTGGTCCACACATGTTTATGGCGCCGCGCACGACCACTGCCCAAACCAATGTAAAACAAAAACACCAGCGATTAACCACACGTCCAAAGAACAACTCTGCAGGAGAAAGGAGACAAAAAAAGAAGGGGAAACGGTAAACCCGTCAAACATATTACCAGCAACTTCAAGAATGGGACTAAAAAATGTAAATCTGATTTTCGATTTTTATCTCTGAATTATTAGTAATTGCTTCTTCGTTGGTAAGGCCAAAGAGACACGTGCTTTTATTTGACTTTGCGTGTGATGCATACCTTTATCAATACCTTCTATCTGTATTTTATTCCTACGGTGAATTCAAGCGGTGGATTCTTGTCTATTATTAGCTACGGTATTCTTTAATTTTTCAGTTTTGTGAAAATACTGTGTATACTCTTTA